CAGACCGATTTTAGATTGTGCTCGAAGCAGATGGTTATCAACCTTATCTTATCTCTCCAGAGAAAGGGTTGAGATCTTTAATTAAGGGTGTTCTGGAACTCGCAAAAGAACCTTCACGCCTGTGTGTTGATGAGGTAAATTGTTGTTATTTTTGTTTATCTATTTCCATGGCCTTGTTGATATTGTTCGTGTTTCCTGTTAATTTCTTGACTCTTTCGTAGGTGCATCGGGTTCTAATCGATATTGTCTCAACTGCTGCAAATGCCACAGCAGGCCTTGGAAGATACCCTCCATTTAAGCGAGAGGTAAACTCAAGCATGAATCTCATATCTGTTATCTGAAGCTATATGTGTATCTCTATATATTTCATTTTACTTAATGAATCATTGTACATTAAAATTTGTGTAGGTTGTGGCAATTGCCACAGCTGCATTGGAAGGATTCAAGAATGAAGCTAAAAACATGGTAGTTGCACTCGTCGACATGGAACGTGCATTTGTTCCGCCGCAACATTTTATACGTTTGGTGCAGAGGCGGTACGCCAACAGCTGATTAGTTTAATATTTTTTTCCTTTGAGGTAGTGTTAACAGTTCTTGAGTTTGATCGTTTGCAGGATGGATAGACAACGACGTGAAGAAGAGCTGAAGGGCCGATCCTCCAAGAAGGCACTTGATGCAGAGCAATCCATATTAAACAGAGTATAATATCCTTCTCAGTGTCTATTTTATATGTCAGTATGTAATCCTATGATGTCTACGGTTGATCCAATTTATACCACTGCTTGTGCATGTCGCCAGAAGCTTGGTGCCTTCCTCTGCTATGTAATAATACCGTGCGATGGCATGTAGTACAATTTTACTGTGTCTGTTCTATTTAATATTTGTTTCCCCTCTTATTTCCTCTCGTTCAGGCAACCAGTCCACAAACTGGAGGCCAGCAAAGTGGGGGGATTTTAAAATCATTGAAGGATAACAAATCCAATCCACAAGATAAAGATAAAGATGGGCAAGAAGCATCCGGACTTAAGACTGCAGGACCAGATGGAGAAATAACAGCAGGTTGTGTACATTTCTTTTACCTCTCATAGTTGTGCTTCACTGTTATTAATGTGTTGTTTTCTCAAAATTATTGGGCCTTTGTTCTAATTTTTTTAGTTAAAAAAAAAGAAGGAAAATTTGTTGACCCTGTTTTTGATGAATTACTTAGTAATTTTTTTCCTTGTTTCCATGCTTGTGCAGGCTTCTTGTTGAAGAAAAGCGCCAAAAATAATGATTGGAGTAAAAGATGGTTTGTGTTGAATGAGAAAACAGGAAAAGTAAGTAGCTTATATATGTATAATTGTATACACTCATTTTATTTTATTTTTATCCTCTCTTTTTTTCTTTTCTTTTGAAGAATAAGTGGCTTATATGATTATCGGGACAAGATTTGACTTCTCAATATTTATAATGACATTTGCATGTCACACACAAGAATCATTCACATTTGAAATTAGAAAATAAAATAAGTGAAGGCATGTTTGCAGTTAATGGTCTTACATCTGCCTTTTAATATATCTCGTGCTTTGTTGATTGTTTTGTTATGATCTCTGCAGCTCGGATATACAAAGAAACAAGAAGAGAGGCATTTCCGTGGTGTTATCACTTTAGAGGTATTCACTTGTCTACACTGTATCTAGAGACTTCTTGTTCATTTAAAAAAATTACAATAAGTTGTCGGAGTGTTAAAATAGTATATTGAAGATCTAGGAATCTGATATCATTTCGTCTCCACTCCCCTGCAATCTAATTTAATGTGGAAGATTGCTTTGGGACGAATCAGTTTTGAATTTTTTGTTAAAATGTTCAGGAATGTAATCTGGAAGAAGTTGCCGAAGAAGAAGAAGCTCCTTCAAAAAGTTCTAAAGATAAAAAAGCAAATGGTGCAGCTGCAGCAAAAGCACCAAGTCTTGTTTTCAAGTTGACAAGCAGGGTTCAGTATAAGACTGTTCTGAAAGGTACTAAAATTCTTATTTGCTTCATCGACCGAAGCCTAATATTCCTCATTAAAAACTAACTAGAGGTTTGCTGATGTCTGCCAGCCCATAGTGCTGTTGTTTTGAAGGCCGAGAGTTTGACCGACAAGACAGAGTGGCTGAATAAATTAAGAAATGTCATCAGTGCTAAAGGAGGTCAAGTGAAGAGCGAATCTGGTCCTCCTATGCGGCAAAGTCATTCTGATGGTTCTCTTGTAATTTCCATGAACTCCCTGGCTTTACCATTTTCATCGTACATATATTATATATGTTACCGTAGGGTGAATAGAAAGGTTGTTGGTTTGTGGTTTTGATTGTAAGGTTTTTGTTTCGATATACTAAAAATTGGGGGGAATACACCATATACCCCAAATTTTGGGGTTATGATAGACGGTTATTGTTGTACCTTATATCTCATAACCTCCAATACTGGTAATAATACACCACAACTATTATGATAATTAATATGTCATTCCCTACTACTATTATTTTCATACCCACAATCATTCCCTTCTTGAAACCAAGCAGCCCCTTACTGATTTCTTTGTATTGGTTTTTATTGGGTTTAGCTGTATATCTGTTCCAAGTTTCAAATACTTCTTATGGTTTCTTTTTTTCTATTTCTTTTCATATATAAGGTACATGTTTATGTGTTTTCCTCTACCATCTCAATAATTCCTGTTTATATGATATAATTGACACGTGGAAATTTTACTCTGTAAAAGCAAGCATTGGCTTCATGTTTCATTGTCTCATGCGTGTAGGAAACAATGACCAGAAGACCCGTGGATCCAGAAGAAGAACTTCGATGGATGTCTCAGGAAGTGCGTGGTTATGTTGAAGCTGTTCTCAACAGTCTTTCTGCCAATGTCCCAAAGGTCCAATATTCCTGAAAATTTTCTATATCTATATATATTTATATAAATAAATTAGAATCTGACTATTTATCTTGTGAATGAATTGTGGTGTACCTAAATTTCTTCAGGCAGTTGTACTTTGCCAAGTTGAGAAGGCAAAAGAAGACATGCTTAATAAGCTATACAGTTCTGTCAGGTTAGTTTCCATTTCTGTGCTCACCCAGTCTCTGACAGCATGTGTTATTGTAAGTTGTAACCGTTTACTTGAAACTTGATGAATTTGGAAAATGACAGTGCACAAAGCATGGCAAGGATCGAAGAGCTCCTTCAGGAGGATCAAAATGTGAAGCGGAGGAGAGAACGTTATCAGAAACAGTCCTCTCTCCTTTCCAAGCTGACGAGGCAACTCAGCATCCATGACAATCGAGCAGCTGCAGCTTCCAGCTACTCCAATGGCGGAGCAGGTAATGTTATCATTATTAATGTTATACAATATTTCGCTCCAAACTTGAAAAAAGATGGTAAATGGCAAGAAAAATATATTCAATCATATAATTCATATATTTTACATATAACTATGATCGGTTGGCCTTACTAGTTATTCTACATTATATCTCTAAGTTTGGATGACATTATTTATTCTTATCCAATTTAGCAGAAAGTAGTCCGACTGCTGTGGGTCCATCATCAGGGGATGACTGGAGATCCGCGTTCGATGCTGCAGCCAATGGGCGGTCAGATTCGTTTGGGGACTCAAGATCCAACGGCCACAGCCGCAGGAACAGTGACCCGTCCCAAAATGGGGACGTCAGCTATGGGTCAAACTCGAGCAGCCGTCGAACGCCCAACCGCTTGCCGCCTGCTCCCCCTTCATCCAATTCCGGCTATAGGTTTTAGAATTAGCTTGGATTTTAATTTTGAAGGTTGATTGTTGAAATTCTTGTCGGGTGGTGGGAAGAGAAACTGTTTCTTTTTTTTTTTTTTTTTTTTTCTCGAGCTCCCATTTGAGCTCGGGTGTCTTCTCATAGTTGAGATACTGGAGGGTAATGGGAGCTCGGGCGTCTTCTCATAGTTGAGATACTGGAGGGACAATATACGTATCTTTTTGTATGTATATATAAATGTAATGAATCATGATTAATGTCCTTTTGCGTTCAGAGCTGTTGAAATTTTTTTTGTTCTGTATTGACGGAGATATATAAGAAGATTTCCATACAACTGTTTTTGTTTGGGTATTTGTTGGACGCAAAAGTTGTATTTTGTAACTCATCAAGAGATTCTGATATTCTTTTTATTATAAATGTTGATTTTAGTTTACTGCTGTTGCCAGTTCATTGGAAAAAATCGAACTATGATTTCAATTCATTTGCTGTGATAGATGACGAGCTCATGCATGTGTTTTTTCTGATCTGAAATCGTGCTAGCGTGTTCTGGAACGAAGACTTGATAATCATGGTCTGAAAATCCTGGCTTTTATTTCAATTTCTGGGGACACTGCATGCTGTCTGCTGGTTAGAGTGTAAAACTGTGGTTAATTTTTAATACCAAGTCTTTGTGATTCTCTGCTTTGGCAACATACAACAGACTCTAAAACAGGAAAAATGGATGCCAAACTTCGAACTCGATCATCTATATGCTGTCAAATTAGGCAGAAAATCAACGACTTAAACGCGCGCGTGGTTATACGCCTGTAACATCTCCTGGAATCAGGAATGCACTTAAAGGTTCAAGACGTAATCCTTGATACGTTTATCATGTGGAAGCTATACCTCACTTCATGACACAGGAAAAACGTACATAAATGCACCAAACTGATTATTTTAAGGAAACTCACGACACTATCTCTTAATTTAATCACCAAATTTCGTTACTGATTCATTATACGCGATTTTCACATCTTCACTGATCGTGATACTCTCATATTTTCCACGTGCATTTCGTGATCTCCTTTCCTTATCACATCCTAAGCCGTTCACCACAACAATCTACATAAACCGAAGATTTTCTCAAGAGACGAAGTTTTATATTTCTTGACCGATCCACTGATCTCCGATAAATGCAATCTGCGAACCACCGATAAACGAGCCACATTCCGAGTACACAACACAACATTAATTTTTTCACAACCATGAATCCCAAGAGCCAACAACAACCTCCCACAATCAACCGAAAACTCATCACCCTATCCCTCTTCTTCCTCTTCATCCTCTACGTCCTCACCCGACCTGACTTCCGACCAATCAAAATCCGCCATGAGTACCTCCCCAACACATGCAACAAACTCCCACTCTCCGTATCCGAATCCCTCGTCCACTACGCCACCTCCCGAAACACCACCCCTCAGCAGACCCTCGGCGAAATCTCGGTCACCCTTCGGGCCCTACAGAGCAAATCCCCCTGCAACTTCTTGATCTTCGGGCTGGGCCACGACAGCCTCCTTTGGGCCACCCTCAACCACAACGGCCGGACCATGTTTCTAGAAGATTCCAAGGAGTGGATAGCCGAGGTCAAGAAACGGGCCCCATCGCTCGAGGTGCGACAGGTGGCATACGACACGAGGGTCGGCCAGGCGGACGAGCTCCTCCGGGAGGCCAGCGGGGGCGCGTGCAGGGTTGTGGGGGACCCAAGATCGTCGAGGTGCCAGCTGGCGCTGAAGGATCTTCCGAACGAGGTTTACGAGGCGGAGTGGGATCTGATCATGGTGGATGCGCCAATCGGGATGCCGAGCTTGCCCGAAAGCCCAGGGAGGATGAAGGCTATATATACTGCAGGGCTTATGGCAAGGAATAGGAAGGAAGGCGAGACGGAGGTGTTTGTGCACGACGTGGACCGGCACGTAGAGGATAGTTATTCGAGGACTTTCTTGTGTGAGGGTTATCAGAGGGTTGAAGTGAATAAGCTAAGGCATTTTACTATTCCAAGTCACAGGGCAAGTAGCAGTAGTACTAGGCCTTTCTGTCCATAGAGTGTGTTGACTTGTTTTGCTTTGTGTTGAGGTTATCTACCATTTTTCTTTAGCTTTTGGAGGCCTTGTTATGAAAACTTTTGAGATTTTAATCATCAAAATAAGAGACAATATTGTTAAGACTTATTTGATTCATATTCATTAGTAGATGTGTTTTAATTTGATGTTAGTTTTTTTGCTCACAGAGTGATTATACATGTACATATACAACAGCAGGATGAGGATCTATATGTGGAAAATTACAAAGTGATTGTTAAGTTAAATGAAGTAGATATATAGCTGGGAATGTAAGTACATAAATTTTTAATAGATTCATATGTATTCAGAAAGTAAGGTTGTTAGGAGTTGTTGTACCCTGTTCTTGAGGTGTATAGCCCAGCTAATTACAAAGTGAGTTGTTGTACCCTGTCCTGTTACTTTCTTCTCAGTTTACTTTTATATAATTTTTTTATTATTGCTGGTGATTCTCATGTTCCTGTAATAAAAACATACATTAGCAAAGTTCTCTGTGCGTTTTGTTTTTTTAATTAATTTTAAACAGACGTGATCACGTGATGATTAATGAAACATGCATGATCCCAAGACATAAAAATTTATGACTATTTGCAGTTTTTTGGCCTAAACATGCGGATGGATTA